CAGCAATGGGATTTGCCTTCCACATTAAATAGTGGGAGTTGACATTAGAACCCACTTGTTCTATGCCGTGGTCTATCACACTGACCATATTTCCTGAAGAACTTAATCATGAACCACAGGAGAAGAACTGAAGATTATCTCTATCAGTTACTTTTCTTATTGTTGGGACAAGATGACTGCTAAAGACAACTTAAGGATAGAAGGGTTTTGAGGATAAATCCATCACGGCAGGGAAGCCATGATGCCAGAGCGTGAGACAGCTGGTTACCCTGTGTCCACATTCAGAAAGCAGAGAGAAATGAATGCTCAGCTCACCTTTTTATTTTCATGCACCCCGGATTCAACTCAGCGAAGGATGCCACCCACAGATAGTGTGGGTCTTTCCACCTTCACCCAATCTAGAAACTTCCTCACAGCCATCACTAGAAAATTGCCTGCCTGGTGATTCTCAGTCCAGTCAAGGTGATGAGCAAGACCAACCATGATACCATCCCAGTATACACTTGAAGTTTTTAGCCCGGTAAGCAGATCCAGGTCATAGCGACAACATAGGAGGTCTGAAGATTCACCCTGTACCACACTGTGACCATGTATGATACTCTGGTTCTCAGAATTCTTGGGTTCTGTCAAAGCCACTCTGAAGGTGTGGGAGCAGCTATCTGCAGAATCTGGGGCTGCTGAGAATCTGAGGGAGACTTAAGTCAGCTTCAGTTTGCCGTGGGGAGCTGTGGGGAGAGTTTGTGAGAACTTTGGCCGGGGGCAGAGGGGGCAGTTTTTATGAAAACAGTTTCATTGTTTTCAGCTACAATAAACTCACATTTAGACTGGTCCAGAAGCAGGAGGGCTGCAGCTAAAAATGAGTTAATCTTTTATTTTCAGGGAAGGCAGATCGTGTCGTTAAAACAGGCGGCATGGTGTGTAGACTTGCCTCATTGGCAGACGCACCGAGAAGGGCCAAGCATGCGGGCTCTCTTCTCCTGGCTTCTCTGTTCGTGCAGGAGGCATGTGGGCCAAGCTGTCCCAGCATGGAGACATGCAGATCCCCCGTGTTAAAGCATGTCACTCTTCTATCCCATCCCAGCTACAGCTCTCTTTTAAAATCCTGTCAGGAGTGACAAGGGGGGACCACCTGTGCAGACAGCAGTGCGATGTGTGCAGGGGAGACCAGTATACACCCAGGTACTCTACTTGGGAAAACATTGGCATACTTCTGTACTGCTTGGTAAATATGCAATACTGCTTGGTAAATACTCACTGACATAAGTCTATCTTGCTGTCATCAGCCCTTTATCCCCCTTGGGAACTTTACAGACTTCCCCAGGATCCAGAAGCTAAAAAACGCCAATTCCCAGTACAGTAGGTCATTCAAAATGATTCTCTCTGTTGTCTTGACTAAGCCTCAGCTGCAAGACTCAGAATTCAGAAAGACTGGTAGCAAAACGAGTTTTATCACAATTGATAGAATCCAGGGTGTGTTGGGAAAATGACGGACAGCCACCTTCTGCTTCTCTCTATTATTGAAAGGGCTGTGGAGATTTCCTAGGTCATCAGCAAAGGGATTCAGCTTTGGCAGCAGAGCCAGCTACACCGTTTTGGATGGGCTCTGGCCAACTCATAGTGACCTTTGCCCGTGTGTTCCATCAAGTTAAATAGTCACAGTTGCACAGGGGTTCCATCAAGTGTAACACTCATGGAGAGACTACATTCCCAGCCCTGCCTCAGGACAGCCAGCTATTTCTATCCTGATGTCCCTCAAAAGCTCAGGCTGTGTCCCCTGGACCTGTTCACCTTGCTCTCTGCAAGCTGTGGCACTCTGCTATGGGTAGACTCCCAAAATCTGCCTGAGATCCAAGAAGGGAGTGCTGTCTCCTTATAACTGCTTAATCCAAAAACACAGGTGTGTCAATGATCCTACAAGGGATCAGGAATCAGGACATCAATTCAGTGAGACCCAGACCTGGCTTCAGTGTAGATGATTCCTGAGCCCCACTTACCACAAGGGTGTGAGGTTAGTTCCATTGAGCCCTAGAAAGGTAATAGCTTACCTTAGCATGCACAGCTTCAAACTTCCAAAGTCTTGTAGATAAACAACTAAATAAACCCCCCAGCTGTTAATCATTACACAAAGTACGTCTCATGGGTTCTCAAAGGTTCTGATGCTGACAAAGAGCAAAAAGCAGGTGGAACTTGTGAGTTAAGCACAAATCTAAGTTTGAAGGGCCTTGGCTGCTCTCATGCTGCATTAGACAGGGTTCTTTGGAAGAGAAGTCCAAGAAAGTACATACGTATATTACAAAAGGGCATTTGTTGGGTTGGTTTATATGACAGGATGATGAATAGAACAATAGCTGAGTGTATGTTGGAGACACAGATATCACTGTAGCTACTCAATCTAAGAAGCCTCTGCCTCCGCAGCTCTCATGCAGTGCTGAAACCCTCAGAAACTCCCTGGAGAGGTCCTGGTATTGCATCCATGTCGAAAAGCCAAAGGAGCTGGGGTCAAAAGTCTGTGGACAATGCCAGCTGCTGTAGGCGTGCACAGGGGGAAGGGGACTAGCACCTGTGCCAACATCGCCTTTCTATTTCTCAGGGATGGTGCCACCCTTGCTCAGGGCAGATCTCCTCCCTTGCTCAGTCTCATGGTTATCTTAGTTACTTTTCTATTGCTGTGGTAAGACACCATGGCCAAGGCAACTTACAGAAGGAAGAGTTTCTCTAAGGCTTACGGTTTCTGAGGATTAGAATCCACGTCCGTTATATCATGGGGCATGGCACCAGGCAGGCTGGCATGGCACTGAAGCGGTAGCTGGGAGCTTGCATCTTGGTGCACGAGCAAGAGAGGGAGGGAGAGAGGGGAAGAGAGAAAAAGAGAGTAGGAATGACACAAACCTCAAAGCCAGCTCCCAGTGACATACCTCCTCCAACAAGATCATGTCTTCTAATCCTTCCCAAACAGTTTCACCAACTGGGGTGAACCCCAGTCAGATAGGTGAGGCTAAGGGGGCCATTCTCATTCCATCACACGTGTCAATCCCCACAAACACCCAAGTTCAACCACTCTGACCCCCAGTCTGAGTTGACAACCAAGGCCAGCCATCACACACAGGAAACAAGTGAGTCAGCAGGAAGCCTGGAGGAAGGCCCCTTAGTGCAATCCTTGTGTACTCTCTCAGTTACTTTGCTGTCTGATCTACAGGGTCTAGAATCAGCTTCAGGCCCAGCAGCAGTGTGTTCAAGCTGTCCAATTGTAGCTTTCTGTAGCCATTGCGTACTTGTGGAATGGAAAGTCAGCAGGCACGGATGGGATGGCCTTAGACCACTGAGTGTGTTTCTCAAGACTTCCAGCTTCCCTGATGCTTTTTTTTTTTTCCTTTTGGATTTCATCTCTTTTGTTTGGGGTATTATTTTCCCTCATGACCTTGTTAAATCGGATTCATCCTTTCTGGATCATCTTTCTCTCCTTTTGAGTCTAACCATTATAGTCCTTTGGTGGCACATCTGTATTAACCTGGAATAATACAGATACCATCAGCGTGGCCCTCCCCCTAGGATGGCTCACACAAATTCATATAGGGCTCCATTGTAAGTATCCACATAAAAATTAATTAAGACACAAACCTACTAACTACCAGTTGAGTCAATAAATCAGTCCTCCAACTTGCTTGTCAGTGCCACAGAAATGCCTTCACATATTCTGAGTACTCTCTTTGGCTCTCCGTGATGGTGACAAGCAATCCCTGTGGCAGACCCTTGGAGATCAGAGAACACATAGCATCATCATTCCCTCAGCTCCTGAGTCTGCCTCACTACAGACATCCAGGAATTCCTCTCCTGTCCACTTGGAACCCAGACATGGCAACGCTAGACCACTCCTGCTTATCTCTGCTGTGCAGAGACAGAGAGAAGCAAGCTGTTCTCATCCGAGAAACAAATCTTCATTTTCACGAATTTCAATTATGAGTCTTTTCAACGCTTCCTTCAATGGGCAAGAATACAAAAGTGTCTTTTCAGAAACTTTCTTCTCAGTACTCATGGAAAGCGGTCCTGTATAGACAGAATACTGATTGTCCACACACGCACAGGTTTGGAGGTTTACAAGGCAGTTACCTTTTCACAGAGGATCACCAGTCTGTCTGCTGTGGGCAAGAAATAATTAAATGACACATAACGGCTTGTGCTAGGAGGCAAAGAACACACTAAGTAGCGGTTGAGGACATGGCAACGGGACAGTAGGAGAGACTTGGAGGGTTGTATAGGTGTCTGCTCAGGCCACCATGACAAGACACATAGACTGGATAGATGAGGCCAAGGGGTTTATTTAGTCACAACCACGGAGGCTGGAGATCCAAATAAGATGTCAACAGGGTTGGTTTCTCCTGCGACCCCTCTCCTCAGCTTGTAGATGGTCTTCTAGTGTCCTCACATGGCCTTTCCTCCATCTGTGCACCAAGGGGGACTGACAGACATGCGTTTTGGCTGTCTCTCTTGGTTTTCACTGTTTATATAAGCAGTGGGAAGTATTGGTGGGGGTAACAACTGGAAGCACAGTAGAGTCCCTCGGGAGTTCAAGGCCGCCCCTTTCCAGGGCGCCGCTCTTAGGATTAAATCTGACATTACAAATGCAGGCGCCCCAGAGCAGCTCCTCAGCCACCCTGTCCTTTGCTTGCTTGCTTTGAGACGGAATCTAATCGTCCATTCCAGGCGGATGACCCACCTGTTCTCCTGCCTCCCAGTGCTGAGGTTACAATACCACGGTGTCCACTAGGCCTCCTGTCTTCATATACATCCTTGGTGAAACTCCGCTTTGAGATGTGGAACTTGATACAGGCCCCGTGTGGAGCCTCAGTCATCGGCTCCTTCTTCTATGACTCGCTGTGGGTGGATGTGATGAAGGGACAGAGGCCACTGTACTCTGGGACTTCCCAGAGGCACCCCACATACCCCCCAGAGTTTGGATTAGGAGCAGCATGAGATCAGATGTGTGAACATCCCCTGGAAAGGGTCGTCTCCAAGGTCGCTTGGGACAAGCTGCACAAGTAATAGGCTGGAGACACAGCTGAGCATGCAGCTGCCTGCAGCTGTGGCACTCTGGGCTCCTACAAGGAAGGGACCTGGCTGGTATCAGCGAGGGTCTGCTGTCTTCCTCATCTCCTAACAATGCCAGGGTTATTAGATAAGGTCCCAGGCATGTAAGCACACTTAACCTGAATGACCTCTGAAAACACATTGTCTTCAAATAGTCACATTAGGGTGAGGGCTTCAGTATGTGAATATGGGGGCCACAATGCAGCCCATGATAGGCCTCTGTTCTGTGTTGCTGCCCAAGGCCTGCTACTTGAGCAAAAACAGGTCAGTTAAGCACTCTGGATGTCATAGTATGGAGAGCAAAGTAGGTGAGGGTTGGCATATATAATGACACACATAGCTAGCTTTGACTCCTCATTGCCTCAGGGGAGTGAATGTAAGCACATTCTGTTCAGACAGGTTGGTCCCCCTGTCCAGTTTTATTGTTTGACCTATTTCTCCCATTAATTGTTTCCTAGAGCAGACAGGACTGGAGGGCAGCAGAGTATGGCGATGCTTTGGAGGTTCTGATCCTGCAAGGAAGTAGATTTCACCTTTAGGCTTCTTCCTGACCCTGAAGGATGGTCCTTGAAGTGTTGTGTCATAGCCCACAGTCCAAAGTGCAATCCGTCCCCACAGGGCCAGAGCTGCCTCCATGTCCCAATTGAATTCTCAATGCTTCATGGCACCCCCGAAGCTGAGTCTCCAAAGCCAGCTTGAAAGGATCCTCACAGTTACACTAAAGATAACACAGAAAATGGAGTCTGGGTGATAAATCAGAAATAGAGAATCCCTAAGGCATGCATTTTCTTCCATCTTGCCTTTTTTTAAATTATAAAACAAGCAGAGAAAATCATCTACAGCAACAGAATAATTACTTCCGCCTATTGTTTCCCATCCTCCAATCAGTATCTATCATTTCAACACAAGATATACGATTCTGTTCTGCTTACTCTCCCTAAACTTGGTTGTATACATTCCTGAGAAGTGGTATTTGTGTCCCCTACCCATGAAGCTGCGATGACTTTGTGACCATTCTATAACCAATACCACACAGCTAAGAGATGCTGTTTTAAGTTTCAAATGCTGGCAGGATAAGTTTCAGTCTTTTGGGGCCTTAGTTCCAAAGGATATCAGCACTGCCGAAGAAGGCCAACTGTCCTGCGCCTGCCTGGCCACAGAGTCTGCACACTGCCATAGTGATGGACAGGCCAGCCAAGCTCAAAGCTGACAGCCAGCATCAAATCGAGACTGTAGGAGTGAGCCCTCTCCCACGGCCAGTCCCATCAACTCAGCTGATATTTGCAGCCCCAGCTGACATCTTGCCTCTGCTGCATGAATGACCTCAACGGAAAGAGGCTCAGCTGAGCCCTTTTCAAATTCCTGAAGCTCAAAATTGCCAGCAAAATAAAATGGTGGTTTTAAGCCAGCACACTTGGAGACAATTTTTCACACAGTGATAATAGCCAAAGTGAATTTTGGTATCCGCAGATGAGGGGTTGCTATACTAATAATAAAAAAAAATTAAAGCACAGTCTTTGAGATCAGATTGCAGGCAAAGACTGAAAGAGCTGAAATCTTACATAGTTGGGGTGGTTGTCAGTGAGGGCTTCTGAGAAAGCCAGAGAGACATTCAAGACTTGTAGGCAAAAGAGACCTTTGTTATACAGTGGGAGAAAAATGCAGCAACAATATCACCTGCAGTGTGGGAAGTAGAAAATATACCAAATGAACTCTGTGATCCCTAAAGGAAATGTCCAGGCAGTGTGCAGAAGATGCCAACAATAAAAGGAGAAATGACTGGCCAGTGCGATGATTGTAGGTAAAGATGCTTGCCATCAAGTTTGATGACCTAAATTTGATCCCCAGGACACACATGGTCAAAGGAGAGAACTAACTCCTTTGAGCTGTCCTCTGACCTCCTCATGTGCACCATACAATGTGTACGCATATACACACATGCACATAAATACATAGAACACTAATACATTTGAAAAAATAGAGAGGAGAGCTGCAAACAGAAAAGTGAAGAGGAAAAAGGAAAAGTTCTTTTGTTTTCAGTTAAAACTTATAAGAAATACAAAGGTGGGAACCTGTCCCTGCAAACCAGCCCATCCATCCGAGTCTGGTGAAGTAGCAGTACTAGTCCCGCCTCCACCCACGGGAGGAGCCAAGTGTGGGCCTGTTTTCCAGCCGGTCTTCCAGTGGTGCCCTGCTTGGAGCCTCCTAAGGCTTGGGGCCTGCCCATGGGGGAATCCATACCAGCAAAACAGCCCTTCCAGAGTCTGTCAATGTCACAGCAGTAATACTGCCTCCACCCAGGGGAAGAGGAGAGCCATAGGGATATTGGACCTGCTTGCACCCACTGGAAAAGAACTTTGTTCTTGTACCTACCAGGAGAGGAAAAGACTCCACCAGGACTCACTGGAAGAAGGGATGGGAAGACTACACTATAAGAACATACTCAACAACAGAAAGATTCATATGATGCCACTAGAGATTAGGGACACAGAAGAAGCAGAAGAGAACAACCCTAAAAACAACTTTATGAAGATAAAAGAGACCCTGAAAAAGGTAATGAGAAAATCCCTTAAAGAAACAGAAGAAAAAACGAAGAAAAATTTTTCAAGAAATGGAGGAAAAGACAAAGCAAAAATTGCAAGAAACAGTTCAAATAGTGCAAGGTTTGAAAGCTAAATACAGACAATAAAAAAAAAACACAGTCTGAAGGAATGCTGGAAATAGAAAAGCTGGGTAAACCATCAGGAACTGCAGAAGCAAGCATAACCAACAGAATTCAAGAGATAGAAGAAAGAATCCCAGGCATTGAAGATACACTAGGAGAAATAGATTCATTGAGCAAAGAAAATCCAACAAATTCCTAATACAAAATATCCAGGAAATATGGGACATTGTGAAAAGACCAAACCTGAGAATAATAGGTACAGAAGAAGGTGAAGAAACCCACCTCAAAGGGGAAGAAAACATATTCAACAAAATCATACAAGAAAACTTTCCCAACCTAAAGAAAGACATGCCAATGAAAGTACAAGAAGCCTACAGAACAACAAATAGAATGGAACACAAAAGGAAATCCCCTCGCCACATTATAATAAAAACCCCGAACATACAGAATAAGGAAATAATATTAAGAGCAGCAAAGGAAAAAGGCCAAGTAACATACAAAGGCAAACCTATCAGAATTACACCTGACTTCTCCAAGGAAACTCTGAAAGCCAGAAGGTCCTGGATAGATATTCTACCAACACTAAGAGGCCACGGATACCAGGCCAGACCACCATACCCAGCAAAGCTTTCAATCACTTTAGATGGAGAAAACAAGATATTCCATGACAAAACTAGATTTAAACAATACATATCCACCAATACAGCCCTACAGAAAGTTCTGGAAGGAAAACTCCAACCCAAGGAAGTTAATTACACCCACAAAAACATAGGCAATAAATAATCCCACTTTACCAATAGCCAAAAGATAAAAGGGGTGAAAATCCACAGACAATTCCACAAACAAGAACAAATCCAAAACAAACAAGAATGAACAAATGGTCATTAATATCCCTCAATATTAATGGTCTTAACTTGCCTATAAAAAGACACAGGCTAGCAGAATGGATACGAAGGCACAATTCATCCTTGTGCTGCATAAAAGAAACACACCTCGACTTCAAAGATAGATGTTACTTCAGAAGAAAGGGTTGGGAAAAGATTTTCCAATCAACAGACCCAAGAAACAAGCAGGGGTAGCAATCCTAATATCTAACAAATTATACTTTAAACTAAAATCAATCAAAAGAGATGAAGAAGGACATTTCATATTCATCACAGGAGAAATTCATCAAGATGAAGTCTCAATTCTGAACATCTATATCCCAAATACAAAGGCATCCACATTGGTAAAAGAAACATACTAAAATTCAAATCACAAATAAAACCTTACACACATATAGTGGGAGACTTCAACACTCCACTCTCACCACTAGACAGGACCACCAGACAGAAACTTAACAAAGAAACAAAGGATCTAACATAAGTTATGACCTAATTGGGTTTAACAGTCATCTATAGAACATTCCATCCAAACAAAAAAGAATATACCTTCATCTCCACACCACATGGAACCTTCTCTAAAAATCGAACACATAGTCAGCAACATAGCAAACCTCAATAGGTACAAAAAAATTGGAATAACCTCCTGTATCTTATCAGACCACCATGCTTTAAAGTTAGAATTCAACAACAATACAAATTGCAGAAAACCTACAAACTTATGGAAATTGAACAATGTGCAATTGCACCATTCCTGGGTCAAGGGAGAAATAAAAAAATTTAAAGTCTTCCTAGAATTCAATGAGAATGATGACACAACATACCACAACTTATGGGACACTTTGAAAGCAATGCTAAAAGAAAAGCTCATAGCACTAAGTGCCCACACTAAGAAACTGGAGAATAGTCACACTAGAGAATTAACAGCACAACTGAAAACTCAAGAACACAAAGAAGCAAACTCACCCAGGAGGAGTAGATGCCAGGAAATAATAAAATTGTGGGCTGAAATCAATAAAGTATAAACTAAAAAAACAATACAAAGAATCAATGTAACGAGGAACACCGGAGACCTGAGGACTGCACACAGCCGATCTGGATCCCAGCCCAATGGTATTCAGCCTGCCCAGAGACTGCCAGCTTCCAAGTCCCAGTCTCCACCCACGGGACAGATGAGGCTAGGGTCCAGCCTACCCAGAGTTTGCTAAGGTCCCAATACCTAGGACAGCCTCCATCCACGCAAGAGGAAAGCCACCAGGGTATTGGACCTGCTCCCACCCACTGGAAAGAAACCGTGGTCACATACCTGCCAGGGGAGGAAGAGACTCCTTCTGCACCCACAGGAAGAAATAATGGGAAGGAAACAATACAAAAACACACCCACCAACAGAAAAACCAATATGACACCTCCAGAAACTAGAGAATCTACACCCCCAAGACATGAACACTCCATTGTGGAAGAAACAGATAAGAAAGATCTTAAAAACAACTTCATGAAAATGATAGA